TAGATAGATAGATAGATAGATAGATAGATAGAGGACTTAATGGATTTGAAAAATACCCTAAAGGTCATCCACTCCAAGGTAGATAGAGAAATAGATAGATAGATAGATAGATAGATAGATAGATAGATAGATAGATAGGATGCCTGCCATAGATGCAGGTGAAATGTCAGGAGAGAATGCTTTTGGAACATGGCCATACAGCCCGGAAAACTCACAACAACCCAGAATTAATGCAGTTTAACATCACTGTTGTCAACTGTTGTGACTCAATACTATGGAGTCAGGGGAGATGTAGGAGCCCCAGTGGTGCAGTGGGTTAAACCCTTGTGCTGGCAGGACTGAAGACCGACAGGTCGCAGGTTCAAAAATTAGACCAGGGGAGAGGCGGATGAGCTTCCTATATCAGCTTCAGCTCCTCATACAGGGACATGAGAGAAGCCTCCCACAAGAATGATAAAAATATCAAATCATCCTGGTGTCCCCTGAGCCCTATGAGGAGCGGCTTAAGGAGCTGGGCATGTTTAGCCTGAAGAAGAGAAGGCTGAGAGAAGACATGATAGCCATGTATAAATATGTGAGAAGAAGCCACAGGGAGGAGGAGGGGGCAAGCTTGTTTTCTGCTTCCCTGGAGACTAGGACGCAAGGGAACAATGGCTTCAAACTACAAGAGAGGAGATTCCACCTGAACATGAGGAAGAACTTCCTGACTGTGAGAGCCGTTCAGCAGTGGAACTCTCTGCCCCGGAGTGTGGTGGAGGCTCCTTCTTTGGAAGCTTTTAAACAGAGGCTGGATGGCCATCTGTCAGGGGTGATTTGAATGCAATATTCCTGCTTCTTGGCAGAATGGGGTTGGACTGGATGGCCCAGGAGGTCTCTTCCAACTCTAGGATTCTATGATTCTATGATTCTACATCCTTTCAGATGGCCAATTCTCTCACACCAGAAGCGACTTGCAGTTTCTCAAGTCGCTCCTGACACGACAAAAAAAAGGGGGGGGGGATGTAGTTTTATAAATGAATAAGGTTCCTTTGGAAGGCTTTTTAGCAGTTCAGAAATCCTAAATCTTCGGGATTTGTTTACAAACGTTAGGCAACCATCTCCTGTCGTCACCTTCGACACACAGAGAGGCAAATAATCCCGATTGCATTTGGATTCATGTGTTCCGTTTCTTCTTTGTCCAGTTCCGCAGCCGGTTTCTGAGATTGAGCAAACGTCCATCAGTCCCAACGGGGTGACCTTGGCCTGGCCACCTGTCCAGCCGCCCACCGGGAGCATCTTGGACTACGAGGTCAAGTACTACGAGAAGGTGAGGGAAAGAAAGGCAGAAGAGGCGCCAGTTGGGTGCATCCACACTGTGGGTTTAACGCAGTTGGATATCACTTTGCCATGACTTAATGCTAGGGAATCCTGGGAGCTTTGCAAGGTCTTTTGCCTTTTCTTGCCTTGTCGGAGCGCTGAAGCCTCACCAAACTACAACTCCCGCGGCAAACTGCATCCGTTCCTTGATTGGCCCAACATTACATTACAATTTCAACTCTTCTCTTAGGATAAATGCAACCAACGAAATGCAGTGCAAAATACCTGCAAACCTTGGAGTTTGGCCTCATTTGAAGGCATTACTGGTCTAATTTTGGAATTTGTCTCATGACAGTTAATCCTACTTAATTTCAATCCACTGATATTTCTTTTTGGAAAACTTTAAAACTTCAAAACATAGGTTTTTCACGCCTCAGAAATCACTGCCGAATGAAAGGGGGGGGGAGGTGGCAACAAAAGGTGCATCTGCACTGTAGAATTAACACAGTTTGACACTACTTTAACAGCAATGGCTCAATGCCATAAAATGCTGGGAGTTGTAGTTTTACAAAGTCTTTCGCCTTCTCAACTAAAGAGTGCTAGTGCCTCACCAAACTACAACTCCCAGAATTCCATAGTGTTGAGCCATAGCCTAATGATACATGTTTTTATTGATTTTGTTATGTTTTTATATTCGTGTTAATGTTTTTAAATGTATTTTATGGTTTCGGTGCCGACTCTAAACCGCCCTGAGTTGCCTGCGGGCTGAGAGGGGCGGTATATCTATCTATCTATATATATATAAATTCTCTCTGCATAATGAGTACCCAAAAGAACCAATGAGCGAAATCACACCAAATTTGGCAACAAAATGTCTCACCACACAAGGAGTGACCATCAATCAAAAAATTATGATTTTGTCATTTGGGAGTTGTAGTTGCTGGGATTTAAAGCTCACCTAAAATCAAAGAGCATTCTGAACTCCACCAACGATGGAATTGAACCAAACCTGGCACACAGAACTCCCATGACCAACAGAAAATACTGGGTGTTTGGTGGACATTGACCTTGAGTTTGTGAGTTGTAGTTCACCTACATGCAGAGAGCACTGTGGACTCAAACAATGATAGATCTGGACCAAACTTGGCACAAGCACTCAATACGCCCACATATAAACACAGATGGAGTTTGGGGGAAATTGACCTTGACATTCGGGAGTTGTAGTTACTGGGATTTATAGTTCACCTGCAATCAAGGAGCATTCCAAACCTCACCAACGATGGAATTGGGTCAAACATCCCACACAAAACCCCCACGACCAACAGGAAATACTGTGTTTCCTGGTGGTCTTTGGGGACCCTTCTGACACCCCCCTGGTGACCCCCCCCCTTGGTGTATTGACTCCCTTCACCAGGGCAACAAAACAAAGCCCTCCTGACAAAGGGCCATCCAGCCATTCACACACACACACATATGTATATGACAGATGCAGTATCATAGATTTGAAAGGGACCCCTAAAGAAGGACAATGATATGTTGCATGTTCCAGAGTAGGCAAACCAGACAATCTCCACATCAACACTGACAAAGAAACAACAAGAAGTACTGTTTACCCACAAGCATAAAGACATTACATATATTAGAAACCAACACATTCTCATTACTTCATTTCCAGATCACCAGACTGGGCCACAGCAATGCATGGCAGGGGACAGCTAGTAAATCTATATAACTAAAAATGTAATGTTTGTTTGTGGGATTAACGTAACTCAAAAACCACTGGACGAATTGACACCAAATTTGGACACAAGACACCTCTCAGGCCAACGAGTGATCATCACTCATAAAAACACTGAAAAACACAGTTGAAGAGACTTAAAAAGCCAAAATTAAAAATACATTACAACACATGCGCAAAACAACATATATATACACACACGCACACACACACACTAGCCGTCCCCTGCCACGCATTGCTGTGGCCCACATGGGGGTTCTGTGTGGGAGGTGTGACCCAATTCCATCATTGGTGGAATTCAGAATGCTCTGTGATTGTAGGTGAACTATAAATCCCAGCAACTACAACTCCCAAATGTCAAGATTCTATTTTCCCCAAACTCCACCAGTGTTCACATTTGGGCATATTGAGTATTCGTGTAGAGTTTGGTCCAGATCCATCATTGTTTGAGTCCACAGTGATCTCTGGATGTAGGTGAACTACAACTCCAAAACCAAAGGACACTGCCCACCAAACCCTTCCAGTATTTGCTGTTGGTCATGGGAGAACTGTGTGCCAAGTTTGGTTCAATTCCATCGTTGGTGGGGTTCAGAATGCTCTTTGGTTGTAGGTGAACTATAAATCCCAGCAACTACAACTCCCAAATGTCAAGATTCTATTTTCCCCAAACTCCACCAGTGTTCACATTTGGACATATTGAATATTCATGTAGAGTTTGGTCCAGATCCATCATTGTTTGAGTCCACAGTGATCCCTGGATGTTGGTGAACTACAACTCCAAAACGAAAGGACACTGCCCACCAAACCCAGTATTTTCTGTTGGTCATGGGAGTTCTGTGTGCCAAGTTTGGTTCAATTCCATCGTTGGTGGGGTTCAGAATGCTCTTTGATTGTAGGTGAACTATAAATCCCAGCAACTACAACTCCCAAATGACAAAATCAACTCCCAAACACAAAAAAGGGACAACCGGAAAGCATGACAAAGCATCTGCTGTGTACAAAGAAGGAATGCGGCAGCTTGGACCAGGTTTCGTTGGGGTTTTGGGGGCCCCTTAAAGGAGGCCTTGCCTGACCCTTCTGCTTCTTCCGCAGGGCGTCGGGGGCCCCATGTTTGTCAAGACGTCCAAGAGCCGCGTGACCCTGACCGGCCTTCGCCAAGGGGCAACGTATGGCGTCCAGGTCCGAGCGCGATCCGAGGCTGGCTATGGCGGATTTGGGCCGGAAAGTGCCTTCCAGACACAAGGCGATGGTGAGTGGGCCCACCTTCTAGGGGTAGCGTTATATCCCCCCCCCCCCCCCAATTGCTCATAGGAGAACACAAAACATCAGGGATATTTTGATTCACTCAGATACAGCTGGCTCTTGGATGATTTCGGATTAAATTATCAGTTTTCTTCTTCTCAAACTGGGGGTGGGGACCCCTGGGGGGGGGGTCTATAGGGGGTGTCAGGGGGGTTGCCAAAGACCATCACAAAGTACAGTATTTTCTGTTGGTCATGGGGGTTCTGTGTGGGAAGTTTGGCCCAATTCTATCACTGGTGGGGTTCAGAATTCTCTTTTATTGTAGGTGTAAAGGAGGGTAAAATTACTGCCACCAAATTTCAAACAGTTTCTTTAAAAAGATGGTTCTTTCTTTTACAGATGGGTACAGGCACACACTACCCTTGCTTTATGATGGTTCATTTAACATAAATAAGTCACCTGACTTATCTAACTATATTGGCTCACAGCCAAACCCTGATTCTTAATATTAAAGAACCAGTCTTCCCTATAGTTCTCTAACTATAGTATTCCTGATGGTTTTCCACACACCACAGGATCAACTACCTTCTCCTGTAACTCTTTGGTCACAGACTAGTTCCCTGAATCCCCACCTAGAGATTTCAGTCCTTTCTGCAACTCTAATAGTCACAGACTCTTCCCTGATTCTCCCACTAGAGAAATCAGTCTTCCCTGTAGCTCACCGGCTTACAGACTGCCACTTTCAAACAGCTGCCCTGTGAAGTGACAGTTGGCTAACTCAGCTCAAGCCAAACCAGCCACTATCTCTAACAAAATATAATCCTACATACTTACCATTTATTAACTACTGTTTAAACAACACATAACCATAAGAATAAAAATACACATCTTCACAGTAGGTGAACTATAAATCCCAGCAACTACAACTCCCAAATGCCAAGGTCTATTTTCCCCGTCTTAAGCGGCAGAGGGTGAAAAGGAAGGGGCCTGAGGCTCTTGGGAATGGGGTGGTTCATAATATGCTTGTCATTGGCCTCTATAGAAATAGAGTGCTGGGATGGAGAGTGGCAGCAAGAGTATCCTCCCCTATATTAATTTCCGGGGAAAGGGCCTGAGGCTTTTAGGAATGGTGGGAGTTGGAGTCCAAAACACCTGGAGGACCCAGGTTTGCCAATGCCTGGTATAGATGCACCTTAGGTAAACACCAGGTATGACTGTTCAGCAGAGGGAAGGACTCCTTTGTTGGGGGTTTTAGATAAAACAGGGATTAGACGGGATGCTCAAGTGGTGAATTCCCTGAGATGTCTCATATTTAGACTTGATGACCTTTAGGTCCCCCTTTCTGTCCCAAGAGGATGTGGAGTACCACTACATAGAATCATAGAATCAAAGAGTTGGAAGAGAGCTCCTGGGCCATCCAGTCCAACCCCATTGTGCCAAGAAGCAGGAATATTGCATTCAAAGCACCCCTGACAGATGTCCATCCAGCCTCTGTTTAAAAGCTTCCAAAGAAGGAGCCTCCACCACACTCCGGGGCAGAGAGTTCCACTGCTGAACGGCTCTCACAGTCAGGAAGTTCTTCCTCATGTTCAGATGGAATCTCCTCTCTTGTAGTTTGAAGCCATTGTTCCATTGCGTCCTAGTCTCCAGGGAAGCAGAAAACAGGCTTGCTCCCTCCTCCTCCCTGTGGCTTCCTCTCACATATTTATACATGGCTATCATATCTCCTCTCAGCCTTCTCTTCTTCAGGCTAAACATGCCCAGCTCTTAAGCCGCTCCTCATAGGGCTTGTTCTCCAGACCCTTGATCATTTTAGTCGCCCTCCTCTGGACACATTCCAGCTTGTCAATATCTCTCTTGAATTGTGGTGCCCAGAATTGGACACAATATTCCAGGTAAAGTGGTCTAACCAAAGCGGAATAGAGCATGGGGAGCATGACTTCCCTAGATCTAGACACTATGCTCCTCTTGATGCAGGCCAAAATCCCATTGGCTTTTTTTGCCGCCACATCACATTCCTGGCTCATGTTTAACTTGTTGTCCACGAGGACTCCAAGATCTTTTTCACACGTACTGCTCTCGAGCCAGGCGTCCCCCACTTTGTATCTTTGCATTTCGTTTTTCCTGCCAAAGTGGAGTATCTTTCACATGAAAAAGGTGCATCTGCACTGTAAAACAAATGCAGTTTGGCACAACTTGAACTGCTATGGCTTATTGCTATGGAATCCTGAGAGTTATAGTACTCAAGGGGTAGTTCATAATATGCTTGTAGTTGGCCTCTATAGAAATAGAGTGCTGGGACGGAGAGTGGCAGCAACAGTATCCTCCCCTATATTAATTTCCGGGGTGAAAACTTGTGTTTAAAGGGTTGTTGTGAGAATGTATTGTCGAAGGCTTTCATGGCCGGAATCACTGGGTTGTTTTCGGTTTTTTTGGGCTATATGGCCATGGTCTAGAGGCATTCTCTCCTGACGTTTCACCTGCATCTATGGCAAGCATCCTCACTACCTCTGAGGGTGCTTGCCATAGATGCAGGCGAAACGTCAGGAGAGAATGCCTCTAGACCATGGCCATATAGCCCAAAAAACCCGAAAACAAGCTGGTTGTTGTGAGTTTTCCGGGCTGTCTGGCTATCTTCCAGAAGCATTCTCTCCTGACGTTTTACCCACATCCATGGCAGGCACCCTCAGAGGTTGTGAGGTCTGTTTGAAACGAGGCTCTTAGGAATGGTGGGAGTTGAAGTCCTAAATACCCAGAGGGCCCAAGTTTGCCCATGCCTGCTCTAAGGTCAACATAGTAATAAAACGTCTAGATAATAAAAAGTAAATAAACAAATATGGAGGACCTGCTGTAGATACAGATCATAGAATCATAGAATCAAAGAGTTGGAAGAGACCTCATGGGCCATGTAGTCCAACCCCATTCTGCCAAGAAGCAGGAATATTGCATTCAAATCACCCCTGACAGATGGCCATCCAGCCTCTGTTTAAGAGCTTCCAAAGAAGGAGCCTCCACCACAATCTGGGGCAGAGATGCATAAAATTACAAATTTTGCACATAAGCTTTTGTCCAATACCTCTTTCTAGCTTGTATTTTTAATACTTTTCATGATACGGATTTCGAAGCTGCATTGCTCTTAATCATTGAGCTTTGAACTGGGGAAAAGGCAGGAGGACAGTGACAACTGAAGCAGTAATATTTTTGTGATTCTTTCGAAACGGAATATATAGACCAACGAAATATGTCTGAAGCTGCGGGATTAAAACCCGGCCCTTATTTCTCTGATTAAACGTGGGATCTGCTGGAAGGCTTAAAAGCCCCCCAGGTCTGCCAGGGATTAATCCATCTGCTGCCACGTGCGCGTTGGAGATGGAGGGACCTCACTGTCGGCGTGATGCTAATCCTTAGCGCTCCAGAGGAATAGGTCAGGTGGGTCTGTCCCGGCCTGATCCCAGCGGGGGCTTTTTCCTCCCACGTTTACGCTTTTGGAAAGAAATCCAAGAAAATAATAATACTACTACTACTAATAATAATAATTTATTTATTTATCGTGTCATCAGCAACCGTACCATTGGGTATCAGCCATTGGTTGAGGTTCTGGGTTTGAGCCTGCCACTTTTGGACTCTCGCTTGCTGAGGTGTTCGAGAGTGTCTCTGTAGATCTTAGAAAACTATTTCTAGATTTAAGTCGTTGACGTGCTGGCTGATACCCAAACAAGGGATGAACTGGAGATGTCTCTGCCTTGGTCCTTTCACTTTTGGCTGCTACTTCCCGGCGGATGTCAGGTGGTGCAATACCGGCTAAGAAGTGTAATTTCTCCAGTGGTGTAGGGCGCAGACACCCCGTGATAATGCGGCATGTCTCATTAAGAGCCACATCCACTGTTTTAGTGTGGTGAGATGTGTTCCACACTGGGCATGCATACTCAGCAGCAGAGTAGCAGCGCAAGGGCAGATGTCTTCACTGTATCTGGTTGTGATCCCCAGGTTGTGCCAGTCAGCTATCGTATGATATTGTTTCTAGCACCCACTTTTTGCTTGATGTTCAGGCAGTGCTTCTTGTATGTCAGAGCACGGTCCAGAGTGACTCCCAGGTATAATAATAATAATAATAATAATAATAATCTTTATTTATACCCCGCCACCATCTCCCCAATGGGGACTCGGAGCGGCTTACACGAGGCCAAGCCCAAATAACAATTACAATAAAGAAAAACCAGAACACAAACCGAAAAATATAATTTCCTTTGCTAAGGATTCCTTAAGGCAGTTCCTTTTGGAAGGACTTTGGGCGCATCTGCATTGTAGGATTAATGCAGCTTGATACTGCTTTAACTGCCATGGATCAAGGCTATGGAATCCTGGGAGTTGTAGCTTGGCGAGGGCCCAGCACTCCTTGCTGAGAGGGCTACTGACCATAGGTAAAAGTAAAGGCTTTCCCCTGACATTAAGTCCAGTCATGTCCAAATCTGGGACTCTGGTGCTCATCTCCATTTCTAAGCCGAAGAGCCGGCGTTGTCCATAGACACCTCCAAGGCCATGTGGACAGCATGACTGCATGGAGTGCCATTACCTTACTGTCAGAGCGGTACCTATTGTTCTACTCACATTTGCATTAAATTGCTAGGTTGGCAGAAGCTGGAGCTAACAAGAGGAGCTCACCCCGCTCCCCGGATTCAGTCAGCAAGTTCAGCAGCTCAACAGTTTAACCTACTGTGCCACCAGGGGGTCCAGCGGGTTAAATTGGTAATGGAGTGCCATTACTTTCCTGCTATTGGCTGAAGCTGGAGCTAACAGTGGGAGCTCACCCCGCCCCCCAGATTCGAACCTGCAACCTTTCAGTCAGCAAGTTCAGCAGCTCAGTGGTTTAACTCACTGTGCCACAAAGAGAATCCTGGGAGTTGTAGCTTAGCAAGGCCCCAGCACTCCTTGCTGAGAGGGCTACTGACCATAGGTAAAAGTAAAGGTTGTCCCCTGACATTAAGTCCAGTCATGTCCAAATCTGGGACTCTGGTGCTCATCTCCATTTCTAAGCCGAAAAGCTGGTGTTGTCTGTAGACACCTCCAAGGCCACGTGGCCGGCATGACTGCATGGAGTGCCATTACCTTACCTATTGATCTACTCACATTTGCATGTTTTCAAACTGCTAGCTTGGCTGAAGCTGGAGCTAACAGTGGGAGCTCAAGCTGCTCCTCGAATTCAAACCAGTGACCTTTCCGTCAACAAGTTCAGCAGCTCAGAGGTTCAACCCACTTCCCCACTGGAGGAATCCTGGGAGTTGTAGCTTGGCAAGGCCCCAGCACTCCTTGGCGAGAGGGCTGCTGACCATGTGAAACTACAGTTCCCATGATCCCATAGCACTGAGTGATGGATTCCTTAAGACAGTTCTTTTTGGAAGGACTTTGGGTGCATCTGCACTGTAGGATTAATGTAGCTTGATACTGCTTTAACTGCTATGGCTCAAGGGTATGGCAAGACCCCAGCACTCCTTGGTCAGAGGGCTACTGACCATGTGAAACTACAATTCCCATGATCCCATACCACTGAGTGGTGGCACTTTGTGTGAGGTCAAATTGTATTCATTTCTCCCAAATGCATCCCAATTAGATATCAATAAAAGATCACAATTATGAGCAGAAGAAAAAGATAAAAGAAAGGGAGGGATGACAGAGTCATTCAAAGGAGAACCATTTGAACCAGAGAGAGAGCAAGAAGTGTACCTTGCTTACCTGTAACCGTATTTCTTTGCATGGTAGCCTGTGAAATTCATCAAACGGTTGCGTAGGCGTAAAGAAAACCCATATGTGCGCATTTCACAGACTCCACGAAGAAGAAATGCCCTAACACGGTTCAGGAGAGGAAGCGACACTAGAGATCACATTGCAAGCACACATTGGATGGTGGAACAAGTGTACGTTGCTTACCTGTAACTGTATTTCTTCGAGTGGTAGCTTGTGAAATTCGCCAAATGGTTGCGCAGGCGTAAAGAAAACCCATATATGCGCATTTCACAGACTCCACGAAGAAGAAATGTCCTAACACGGTTCAGGAGAGGAAGCGACACTAGAGATCACATTGCAAACATACATTGGACGGTGGAACAAGTGTACGTTGCTTACCTGTAACCATATTTCTTCGAGTGGTAGCCTGTGAAATTCGCCGAACAGTTGCACAGGTGTAAAGAAAACCCATATGTGCGCATTTCACAGACTCCACGAAGAAGAAATATTCTAACACGGTTCAGGAGAGGAAGCGACACTAGAGATCACATTGCAAGCATACATTGGATGGCGGATCAAAAGGAGTTCAGAAGAAAATCAACCTGTGCTGCATAGATTATAGGAAAGCCATTACTGATTTGGCAAGACCTGAGAAGGGCTGTGGATGATGGGGCGACTTGGAGGTCTTTCCTTCAAGGGGTTCCCCTAAGTTGAGGTCAACAACAAATAATGCCAAGATTCTATGTCTTCTGCATTTCCAGGAAAAACAGTCTTCCCTTCCCAGAAATGTTCCATCTTTCTCTTCTGAATCAGTCCCCCAGCTTGACCCAAATCTTAACTCTGCGCCCCTCTTTCCTCTCTTTGGTCCTCCCTACAGAGCTGGGCGGAGGCACGGAGAAGCTGGCCCTCATCGTGGGAACAGCCGCCCTGGGGGCCCTCCTGGTCCTGGCCGTGGTCATCGTCGCCGTCGTCTGCCTCCGGTAAGCATGGGCGGTCCAAAACCTGTGTGTGGGCGGGACCAGGGAAGTGGGAGGGGCTTATTGTCACACAGAGGGAGGGTTATTTATTTATTTCATATTAAAAGCATTGCATAAATTAGTATAATTAGTATAGAAATAGAAGGATTGCAGGTGGCTAAATATCTTTTGACCAAAAACGGGCAACAGCAACGGCATTGTCTGTAGCCTCCAACAATTTTTCCTGTGTGCATGAGGCAGGGCATAGTGGACAAGCATACCGATGCGGAGTTGTCTGTTCTGCTTCACAGTCACACAAGGTGTGGGATTCTTTTAGGTAGTGCCATTTTGACAGGTTGTCTTTTGATCTGCCCACTCCACTCCTGAGTCTGTTCAGAGACTTCCAAGTTGCCCATTCTTGGTTTGCCCCTGGAGACCCCCCATCTCTCGTGGGGGGCCATTCAGTTGGGATTTCCT